AACAAAACCTTCTTGCTGCGCACACCCAACTCCATTCCTCACCATGCTACAGGACTGTGGAAACACCCCAAGCTTTTCCCACCCTGCAGACCTTTCTGGTGGGGGGCCAGGCCAGGGCATTGCAGCCTGCCTGGCCAGAGCCCCTGCCAGCAGGTACCTCCCAAATGGGGCTGTGCTTCTCCTTGGTAAGCTGGTGCAAACAAATAACTGGAAGGAAGGAGACAAGGAGCTGGTAACACCATGGCATCTAGTCTTCCAGAGCAGCTTTGCTCTGTGAGCAGCGACGTTAGCGAGGCCTGGTGTCCTGCAGATGTGCCTCCTGTCTCCCCATCGTCCTTCCCCTCCCCTCGCTTCCCCGCTCCAATCTTACATAATATCACATACTGCAGCTGCAGTATTTCCAGTTTGCCCTATACCTTTAACTCTCTCCCATGTCCCTTGTTCCCTCCAACACCCCAACGCTCTCCGTGTCTCCTACGTAATCTTCTTGGCCTGCCAGCTGGGCAGGAGAGTGCAGATGCTGGTCCAGAAGTAGACGTGTGATAATTGGCCATCTGGACACTGCCAGAGAGAATGGATAACAGCTGAGCTCTCCCTGCCTTTTCTTCAGCAGCGGATCTGGAAAGCCTCTCAGTGCCGGCAGAGATTTCCCTGGAACTCAGAGGGACTTTATAATCTCCAAGAGTTTGACTGCCGCTGTCAAATCTGTTTCAAAATGCCAGAGGATTCAAGAATTACCAGAAGATGGTCAAACAGATGGACAGACGGCATGACTTCGTGATCTCCACTGCCTTAGAGGTCCAGGCTAACACCCCCCCGCCCCAAATTAAATGCATTTCCAACTTCAGAAAAAGAGCAACTCCTAGAACATCGATGCAAGTCATTAGTGAATATTTTTGATTGATCCCTGAAGGAAATCAGTTCAGGGGCTGGCAGACTCCTCTCCTCAGGGAGTCCTTAAAATGGGCTGGTGACATTATTGACAATGATGGGCCATTGGGATGCATTCAGTTGTAGCTGATATGCCTTAAAAGTCTCAAGATGTTTTCCAAGAACATCTTAAAATAAATGCTAAAGTACCTGTCTACCCTTTTTTAATAATATAGCAATTGCTACAATCTCTGAGCACATTTGCATATTCATAGTTTTAAGGCTCCAAGAGCTTTAGCATTCTTGTCCAACAAAGATCACGGAAGCTCAATACTGGTCCTGTACTGAATTTAATCTTCAGCTGGAGCATCTCTCCCAAAACAGCATCCAAAATCTTTACCCAGAGTCTTAGGTGGTAAAGCATTCCTATGTGTATGCCAGACATAGCTGGGCAGCACTGTCACACACGTTCATTTTTTTTATTATTATTATCATCATTATTATTGTTTGCTTTCATGATTGTTGCAGTGGCCCATGCAACTATTTTACTGTGAATTCTCTTTACATCTTTTTATTGTCTGATGAAATGAACAGGAGTCTGAAGATTGCTCTCTTTTCCTGCCTTTCCCTTCCTTTTTTTCTTTTACGCAAAGCTTAAAACCATGTGGCACTGCTTTATTGAGTCAGCAATTGCTTAAACTTTTTAAAATTCCATACACTAAGTGAAAAATGAGATTTACAAAACTAATGGAAAATAAATGTCTCCTGAACATGCAACACATTGACTTGCTTCCTTGCCTTATCCCGTGAAAACAGATGGAAGCAATAGCTACAGTGAATTACCTACTGTACATAGGGCCCCATGCTGTCCCGTGGCAGCCCTATACAAGGACAGAGCTGCCAGTTTGTCACCGCGCCACTCTAGAGGTTGCCCTCACTTGCGTGGATCTGGGGGTGAACAGGGTGATCAGGCCATACCCCTGTAGCCAGTTGCTCACCCTATTTTACACCTACAGTGTATGGGAAGGGCTGTCTTTCCACCACGTTTCCAGTGTACCTGGTCCAATGGGGTTCTTGGCTGTGACTCCTGGGCACAAAGGGAGTATATATAAATAATAGTAATTTTCTCCTGGGAGCCTTGACCCAGCTCAGGCCCTCTGAGCAAGGGTAATTTGGAGGCAAATCTGAAGGCATAAGCCCATCAAAAGACACAGCCAATGCACAACCTACAGGAAACCCAAGTGGTTGCTTTCCCAGGAACGTGTAATTTTTTTCCACAGCAAATGAGTTTCCAGCACGAGTCATCCACCACTCGCGAGCTCTGTTCAACCTATCTTTCAAACACGTGCGTTTCTCACCGCACACGCAGAAGGAAAACCAATTTGTCCAGGAACAGTGTTTTTGGACTCTGCTTTCCAAAGGATTGCTAATAAAGCAACGAGCAAAGAACATACTATTTTGCTGAATATATGAATCATACCTTGATGGTGTCTCCTTTGAATCATGGCATTCAAAGATCTCCCTGGAGCACTATGTTTTACATTAGAAGAGAGCAGTTATCCCCAGCAGAGATGCAGCACATGTGTCTGGCTGATGGATGGCCATTCCCTAGCAGGAGTCAAAACGTTTAGGAGAAAGAAAAAAAAAAATTCCCTAGAAACCTTAAATAGCAGGAGAGTAATTTGAGCATCGCGTTCAATTTGCTGGCTACCAACAACAGCAAGATTTGGCATCTTCCGCAACGGCTTCGCAGCAACGTTTTCTTCCCCGTCGCAGAGTCCCATCCCACCTGCCTGCCGTCACGCCTGTTGCGGGTGATGAGGGGACATGTTCCACTCAAGTCAAGGGGAGTGTTGTGTTAGACCACAACAGAAACAGCATCAGGCCTTGGATCAAGGGAGATAAATGGAGCCTGGTAAAAAATTCACCGTGACTTAATCCTTCTAATAGGAAATATGAAGCAACACTCCCTTTATTAACGTTTGAAACAAAAAAAGGCTTCTTGCTTGTAAACTAGTCATTTAAAAAAGTGGTAGTAATTTAAAGTACTATATATTCTGTTTAAACATTATTTAGTACTTCACTCAGTAGCTCCCAGCCCCTCTACAAAGCAAATTCCTTCTGAAGCCAACAGACAACCGCTTTGCAGCCAGTTTTGGTTTTACTGGATCTCCCAGCAAGGGACAGCACAGTCTCAGCACCAGGGCTGAGCTTCCCGAAATGGCCCCGTTCCCAGGTCTCTGCAGAAAATCACTTCACCTGTTTCCCCATATGAGGAAGAACACTTACCCTTCCTGTGGAGTCCATCAAGACCGACTGAAGAGAAGTGCATTATCTGAGCAATACACTGGCACGATGGCAGGGAACAAGCCTGCTCCAAGACCTTTGCGTTTGATTGCCCTCGAGTGCCATTGTAGAAATTATTATGGCTGAGATTTTCCAAGATGACTGAGGCTATGGTGACATCCACTTCTGAGAGATTCCTGGAAATTACAAAGCTTAAATCCCTACTTAGTTTAAAACCCAAACAAATGAATCATTTAATAAAAATTCTTGCATGTAATTTCACTCTCACCCTGCAGCATCTGCAGTCATTGCTGCATCAGGTGGATGCTGCATGCTCAGCACTGAGAGCAGGCTGTGCTGCAAGGGCTCATTGCATTAAAAAAAATATGCAAAAACGGCCTCATATCCATCTAGGAGATAAACCCTAAGGACAGCACAAGGACTCTTGTCTAATTAGGGGTACCTAAGCTCTCCTGTGTGACCTTTATAGTGCATCAGCCCTGTGTTGTGGGATCACCAGGTTGAACAAAAATGTTTTAAAATTAAAGGTATCATCAGCCCCGGTCTCCCGTCCCCCAGTCAGGATCACTTCACACAGAGGGACGACATTACTTTAACTCACGTGCTATTTGTCTTTTGCCAAATCACGTGCCATTTGCTTTAGGAAAAAAAAAGGATTTTCAACTATTGCAACAAAAGCTTGCTGAGCGGGGAGAGGGCTAGAGCAAAAGGAATTTAGCAGGCGGCAGCATGGGAACCCACAGGAAAGAGAGGATTTCTTACAACTAGAGCTGGCTGCAAGCTGCCACCATTTTCACAAAATTTTTTTCAAGGAAGTTTTCCACTCAGGCTACAAATCTTTTTGGCCAGAGTAAAATGCAGTCAACGCATAAATGAGTTGACAAGTCATTCTCTGCACATACTAAGTTGCTTTTATTAATCCAGAACTGCATGCTACAGATACTGTACAGCATGAACATTTATTCATTACAAAAAATGGCTTCCAAACCATTAAAAATGAAAATCGGAATAAGAGCATAAAACGGAACAGTAACATCACAACTGTTAGGAAACATTCAAAGTATTCACAAAAAATGTTATAGTTAGCATCTTAATAAACCAGAGAAAAATCTGAGACAGTTTTACAATCGCTTCATGTCAACTACAATGGCACTGAATGAACAGATGAACAATTTTTCAGCTTTATACAGCGTTTTTTGCAACATCAACATGCCTAGTTTTTTTTTTTTTTAAGTTTGCTACCTACCTGTATGTAGTAAGTGTACATAAAAGTGGCAGTCTGATTTTCCTTTTATGAATAATCTAATATACAGAATTTGGCCCTTAAGGGTTTATACCTCTTCATTTTAAATGCTTTCCGGACAATCTGCTACCAAACACGTCTGTTATAGGTGACATTAAAACTACATACATATCTACCTATGTAACATCACAGCAAAACATGATGAACAAAAAAATTACAGCATTAAAAAAAAAAAGTTGCTGGGAGAAAGTTAAAAGTCACTGAGAATTTTGGCACATAAAAATTTTGCACACAGCCTACAGTCCTAATGTCGCAGGGGATTCAGCTGCAGTTCTGAACGGGAGACACTTGGACCTTGCTATTTTTAAAACAGCATTGCTAAAAATTCCCTTGCTAAATTTTCAAGTCTTTTTGTGTGTAATGGCTTTTAAAGCAATTTTTTTTTTTACACTAGTGATCCTTGAAAAAAATGCATCTGCGAATGTCCATTTGGTGGCAACTGTGTTTCATATAGCAACAAAAAAAAAAAAAAAAAAAAAAAAACACAAAAAGAAAAAAAAAAAAAAAAAAAAAAAAAAATCACGAAAGGAAATCAAAAACAAAAATTCCGGAAAAAATATATATATACACATTTATATATAAACTTAAAAACCTTGTACAAATGAGTTGTTATATATAAGATGCTTACACTAAGGGGAAAAAAAAAACCCTTTATACAATGTTTCAAGAAAAGAAGAAGAAAAAAACATTTAAAAAGGGACAACATACAGATACAACAAGCAATTTCTAAAGCAATAAATACTACTGGTCCAATAGCGTTGTGATACTTTTAATTGTTGAGTAGCGTTCCCTCCCCCAAAAAGAACAACACCATGGAACAAGGTATATTAACACATTTTTTTTAACCCTTTGTTTCTGTACATTTAAACAATAACAAGTAACATCACAATAAGGTTGTTTCACACAAGGAAGAAAAAAAAAAGAAGTAGTAGCGGCACTGCATTCATTGTGCCCTTAAAGGTTTAAAAACCAGATGTAAAATGATTGGTTCGCAAGCTCGTATTTAATACAAATAATAAAGAACCAATGCCTCCGGCAAGGGCTGCTTCAAAATTGCTTCTTTTTTTTTTTTTAATTTTTAAAATCAGTCTTTAAAACTAAGCTATTGGAACTACATAACAATTATGTATATATATATATTTTTTAAACGCTACAAAGACTTTAAACAGCTGTTGATAAAAATTTTGGCAGAATCATGAGGCTTTTCTCATCTACATATTTAAAAAGGAGAAATTGAAATAAGAATGGGTCAAATATTGACCAATGAACTCGATAAAACATCAACTAATGTAGCCACGTGGCACGAATTAAAAACGAAACCGAGAAACAACAACAAACAGCGGACGACAAGGAGGAGGAGAAGGGAAAAAAAAAATTAAAGGAAAAAAAAACCCCAAAACAAATCCCAACAGAATTCAATCCCCCCAAAGGAAACCAAAAGGGCTAACGAGGCTAAAGCTATTCTAAGGACTTGGTTACGAGGGAGAGCGGCTGGGGCTGTGTCCCTGCCAGTGAGCTGTGGGAATGCAAGGAGGACGTCGAGGGCTGTGCTGGGGCTGCGGCGGCGGCCGGCGGGAGGGCGGC